TTGTGTTTCTCTACACAAATGTATGCTATGCTTTTTTGTTTAGGTTTTTATTTGCACAAATTAAAGCCATGTATTCTTTTCATTCACTTTATAATTAGCCGCTACTTCGAATAAGCTTAACACATGAATTGCATTGAAGTTTGTGGTTTTGACGAGCAAATATGCGAAAATATTCAGGGGGAATGGATACTTTAACAAAGCATTGAAAAAGAAAAACAAATGCCAAATTAATATCTAAACCTTTGCGTCCAACATGGAGTCTGTTTTGGTCAGACAGTTGATCTTAGTGTTACTTCAGTGCTTAGTGAGTTGAAATGCGATTAATTTCTGTACATTTTCAGGTTGGTTTGGGTCAGCTTCATCTGCATGGTGGACGTGGAGTGGAACAGAATCACCAGGTAACATTAAACCACCGGGACCGCATATGATTCCGTACTGCAGCTCTTTTTCTCTGTTTAGCATGTCTTTACCCTGTCCTCACCAACAGAGGGCGTATGACTACTTCACACAGGCTGCGAATGCTGGGAACACACATGCTATGGCTTTCCTCGGAAAGGTTGGGAAGATCCTGTCAAATTACTTACTGATGGTTTTATCTCCTCTCTATCTCTATACTGTTTTTAATTTTAATGTCTTGAACACTCTCAAATTGTTGTGCAGATTGACAATAACTCTAGAGCTGTCTTAGCCAGTAGTCTTGTACTGTTTTAACACAGGAATTTATGCATAAATCACTTTTTTATTATTATTTTATTTGTTTGAATCTTTCCCCCTCAGATGTATTCAGAAGGCAGCGAGTTTCTCCCTCAGGACAATGAGACAGCTCTGCAGTACTTCAAAAAGGCCTCTGATATGGTAATGTAAAAACCCCTCACATTTTTAAGTGCATATATATTTAATTGACTTGCTTTGAGTGGCTGCATCTGATGGGGACGGAGTTCTGAGTATTTGTCCTGAGAAGACGTCTTTATTGTTCAGGGTAATCCAGTGGGCCAGAGCGGACTGGGGATGGCTTATTTATATGGAAGGGGAGTCCCTGTGGTAAATTTCTGAAATGATTTCTTCTTGACTTTTGATGTGTTTTTTTATTTTTTTAAATTAAACTTTTAGAACTAACTAACAATTTCAGCAGCTACTTCAATCATTTCTTCTTTTGGTCCTCAGAACTACGAGTTGGCTCTAAAATACTTCCAGAAGGCAGCAGAGCAGGGTTGGGTGGACGGACAACTCCAGCTGGGAACCATGTATTACAGTAAGATGGAAATAATTTCACTGGTTTTTCTGTATTTATTTTGTCTTCTTTTAATAATATATGTCCGTCTGTCTTCATTGCAGATGGCATCGGTGTGAAGCGGGATTACAAACAAGCGCTGAAATTCTTTAACCTGGCCTCGCAGGCCGGACACATCCTGGCCTTCTACAACCTGGCCCAGATGCACGCTACCGGTACCGGCGTGATGCGCTCCTGCCACACTGCAGTGGAGGTAAGCAGCTGGTCTTAATTACACGTATTAAAACATGTAATTGTCTTCCGATGGATTTGAAACGCGTAGGCAGACGTTAAAATGTTCCTGTTGTAACGCAGTGTGTGTGTGCTTCCTGCTGTCAGCTTTTTAAGAACGTGTGTGAGCGCGGCCGCTGGTCGGAGCGTCTGATGACGGCCTACGGCAGCTTCAAAGAGGGAGAGACGGACGCCGCGCTGGTGCAGTACCTGCTGCTGGCAGAGCAGGGATATGAAGTGGCTCAGAGCAATGTGGCCTTCATTCTGGACCAGAGTAAGACATCCGACATGCATTTGTGTATAACCCGACTATTCCTTAGAACTGATGATGATGGTGAGTCAAAGTTGATGTTTTGCTGCCATGTGGATTTTTACCAAACAGATGGAGCAAAAATCTTCAGCGACAATGAGACCTATCCTCGTGCTTTGCTCCACTGGACAAGAGCTGCTGCACAAGGTAGGCTCTTATACATTCATGCATCATAAATTCATGACTTAAGTTTTTTTTTTACTCTCATGCTGTGACACAAGCTATTCTCCATTATGTGCTGGAAGAAACTGAGGTTTAAGAGTAATAAATCATCTACTTTCCTTAAAACATCTGCTTGTATTCACAATGTTTAAGAAATGAAATCCTCAGTTTTCCCCCCCAAAAATATTTTTACTTAAGTTTTGCGCCGTGAAGATACCATCCTGTACCAGTCTGAACAAACGTTTTATAATTGCTACACGACTGTGACATGACACAGTCGCTGTTTTATGTTGCAGCGACCTTAAAATAAGGTTGTGACCTTACTGCTCCAAATAGAAATGAGACACAAAATAAAAGAAACAACAACAAAAAAAGAAACTGCAAACACTGGTTCTCTGAACATCAATGGTAGTTAAACATCGTAAAATGGATTGGATACAATTGTACACTCAGAATGAGATTGGACTCTCCAATGACAGTTTAATCTGATGTCTTGAAGTGTGACTCAAACCTAAAAATTAATGATAAAAATGATAATTTACTGTGTAAAACTCTAATTTCATTGATTAAATTATAGTGTGGATCGTGTCAACTCTTTACAGCTTTACATGTTCAGGTTTTCTGTCTACTCAGTCAACTATCAATTCTATTCTGGGTTTTATTTGTGTTAATCAGAGCGAATGTCAGATATTATGAGAAGTTTTTCCTCTCGACTCTAGGAAAAAAAAATCTCATGTGCTTTTCCTCTCAAGGTTACACTGTGGCTCGGATTAAACTGGGCGACTATCACTTCTATGGCTATGGAACAGATGTGGATTATGAGACGGCGGTCATTCACTACAGGCTCGCATCAGAGCAGCAGAACGGCGCCCAGGCCATGTTCAACCTGGGTTACATGCATGAGAAAGGTCTGGGTATCAAACAGGTGAGTCTGCGCTACGTATGAACTTATCAAAGCAACTTCTATTTACAGATTCATAAATCAGTGGTACCAAAGGTATGATTTCTAAACTAGAAAACTGGATGTTTAATGGTTTTTTTTTTTTTTGTCTTGTTTTTTTTGCAGGATATCCATTTAGCAAAGCGCTTCTACGACATGGCAGCAGAAGCCAGTCCTGATGCCCAAGTCCCAGTTTTCCTGGCCCTGTGCAAGCTGGGCCTGATTTACACTCTGCAGTACCTGCAGGACCTTAATGTAAGTGTTTCAGCCCTGAATCTTCAGCCTTTTTACATTTTTTCAATATACGTCTTAATCTGTGAGATAAATGATTTTATTTATGTCTGTCCTGCCACTCCTGTTTTGGTTTGACCTCTGGAAGCTGAAGGAGTTGATTACTCAGGTGGACCTGGACCAGCTTCTGGGCCCGGAGTGGGACCTCTACCTCATGACGGTCATCGCCCTGCTGCTGGGCACGGTCATCGCCTACAGACAGCGGCAGCATCAAATCATCGTGGCACCCCGCCCCCCGGCTCCCACTCCAGCGCCCCCTCCCAGACCCGCTCAGCAGGAGGAGGAGGAGGAGGAGCCACAAGCTCAGGCAGAGCCTCAGGATCAGGAGGAGACGCCCGCCCCAGGAGAGGCTCTGGAGGAGGAGCAGCAGCAGCAGCAGCAGTGAGGAGAGGCCAGAGAAAAGACAAGAGAGCAGAACTGATTAAAAACCTGCTGTTTTGAGCATGTCTCCCACTGCCTGCGCTCCTCCATGTTATTAGAAAACTCTCATTGGCTGCTGAAACTGTTCAGTTCTCCAATCGAGAAGTGATGAAACAAACACAGGACCTAGAACTGTTTTGTTTCGTTTTGTTTTTCCTGTGTGTCAGGATTCTGCCAGAGGCAACCATGGCCTCACCTTGCAGTTTCCTGATTAAAAACATTTTAAAGTCAGCTGATTAGAAGGATTCCAATTTCTGCTTTAGTTTCTTCTCACAGTTCCAAATGTTTTTTTTTTCGCCAGGGGTCGATCCGCTTCAATCCTAAATGAAAGCAGACCTTGAAAATTAAAAGGGTAAGGTAACGTGAATTAAGTTTATTTAATGTTTTTGTTGATAAAGACAGAAATCTCCTTAATTTTTGGGTTGAGGCATTTTTTTTAAACAGTTTTAAGTTAATTCAAGCTAAATTTTCTTCAGTATTTTTGCCGGAATCCATAAAGTTTTAATTTCTATGCCATAATATGCAAAATACATCTGCTTTTTTTATTATTATTATTTTTAGAAAAACAAAAAGGAAGTTGAACAATTTTCTTTAGAAAGAGTGACTCTTTGGCTTCCAACAACGAGGAGCATTTAATTTGGTCAACAACAAAAAAACAACCTTACATCAAAATAAGATCCTATTAGAAACATTTTGTGGGAGAATATTTGTTCTTTTAAAAAAAAATGATGCAATAATAGGTTTTTAAATTCATATTAAATGGCAAGTCGAAAACATGCCAAACTACAGTTTAGCGTCTTTTTGTTATTTATTGTGGATTTTTTGATATCATGCCCGTCTACTCAGTCAACTATCAATTCCATTCTGGGTTTTATTTATTTTTATTTTTTTCCCCCCCCATTTTCTGTATTTTTGTTTTTCTTTAAACGGGTTTTAAGCCCACACTTCAAATCAGCTCTGTTGAGCATGAACCAAAAATTAGATTACACATTCAAACAAGATTTCAACACATCCCTCCTTGTCTCTGCACCCATGTTATGCTCTTAAGAAACAAAGCTTGCTGTGCGACTCCGTGACACGTTTGAGGACAGGAAGGCTTACAGAACTCACCAGCAGGGGCAAGTCAGGTTTGGAAAAAAAATGCATTTTTTTTTTCCAAGAACAGGTTTAGACATAATAAATAAATGATTATGGCTATTCAACTGTTTGCTTGTGACGTAATCTCTGCCGGGTTTTCGTCTCAAATTGCTACTAAGCAATTGGAAAAGGGAGAAGTTAAGAACCGGCTACCAACATTAAACGTGTAGAGATGGGCCAAGAGTCTTTTTAAAGGTAAACTTTTGCTTCCTTGAACAGATTTGAACAGCTGTATGTGTTGCTAGGTAACTGATTGGTGCCGGAGAGCTTTTTTTGAAAAGTCTCTTTTTTCCAGAGACCAAAAAAAAACATGAAAAACTTTCCTTCTCCAAAAAACTAATTTACAGCCCCATCGATAAATACGTCATTCTAGCCCAGACTTTCTCATTGGTCGCTCAGCTTGTATTGGTGGCGCTGACACAAAGTGATAGAGCTGTGAAAACAGAGCATCGCGTTGTGTAGAGGTCACCTATTGTCTGGTGCATATCGACTGCTATGGAGGCGCTTTTGATCGGCGTGGTATGTGCGCTCCTGTCCTGCTCTGTCAAAGGTAAGCGCTAGAACAAGCTGGGTTGTTCTTGTTGTAATGTTTTGTGATTGTGGCAAACTTTTCAAGATCATTTTTGTTTGTTTTTTTTTCCCGTTAAGATAGAAGCGTGACAGTTACATGTGTGAAACAGGCCAAGGATTTCACTACTGATTTCTTTGGGAATGTTTAGAAATGTTGTAAATCTGCATTGAGAGAAATTGTGCACATTTTAGAGACAACAGGATTTAAATTTGCTTCAAAGGTGACGACTGGTGGGGGGAGTATCAGGAGGGGATACGACAGTACAGTGATGAGGACCTCAATAAGGTACCGTTTACCGTTCGTTTCAAAACCGGCTGTTGGGAACAGAAACACAACTGCTGATTACAAATCAAAGATCACCTGGTCTTTGTGTGCTTTCTGAAGCACACAGAACTTTATCTTGCTGCTTATACTATAAAATCAAAACACCACAGCAGCACGTCAGGCTGAGAAGCTTCATTTAATCTAATTTACTGAGATGCACCTATAAGTGTGCTATGATAAAATATGGCAAATTCACAACAAAGAAAGTTTAAACCACTTCCTGCATTTCTGATGATGATGATGATGATGATGATGCTGCAGTTAAACTGGCATTCAAGCTAAAAGTTCCCTGGAGGACAGAGGCTTTGTTATCCAAATGAGTGGAGAACGTTTGCCGTTATGTTCTATTGAACTTTTACAGATGTTTCTAGAGAAAACTCGACCCCTGCACTTCAAACATCCTCCGTTCCAGTGTCCTGACATGACCCCGTCTCCTACTGTCCCCTCTTCAGGTATGTCCACTTCCCCGAGTGGGACCCCCTCTTCCGCCCCTCCGTTCAACTGACGCCCTTTTTCTGTGTCTCTCTTTTTTAACATTCGCTGTAGTTGAATTTGTGAAGGCAGCGGATATAAAAGTCATCGCCGCCTTGGGAGACTCAATGACTGTAGGTGCTTTTGTTTTGACGCTTAACAAGCACGTATCTAAAATCTGAAAAGAAAAAAAAAACCCTGCCTTGTGTGAACACTGAAACATTTGCTAAACATCAAGATATGAATTAATCCCTAAAAGTAACTGGGATACACTTCCATTTTGATTTTCAGACAGCTGTAGGTGCCAATGCCTCCTCTGTGAAGGCACTCCCAGAAGAGTTTCGCCATGTGTCGTGGAGGTGAGGTTTACCCCTCGCAATCAGAATATGTTTGCTTTAGTGATCCTGCACATTAACTCCTCATATTCCTGTTGTACTAATAATACACATGTACCCTCTGAAGTATTGGAGGCTACGGCACTTTTCAAGATGTCATAACTCTGGCGAGTAAGAGGCCGTTTCTTAACATCATCTCTTGTCAGATCAGTTTGATGCCACGGCTTTTCTTAACTTATTCCAAACTTTGCATTTTAGACATCATCAAATTATTCAACCCCACTCTGATCGGTGCTTCTCTTGGAAAGACTACCTATGGGATTGAGTCTCCTTTTAATGAAACCGGCTTTAATCTGGCCGTGACCGGACATAACACCTTGTAAGAGCTTGTCTCTCGAACAGACGCTGATCTGCCTTAGTTTCTGTAATTTAAAAGAACTGAGATCTGTAGTTTTATTGAAATCTGATTTTTTTAATTTTATTTTTTTTTTCCCTAGCCAACTCCCAAATCAGACAAGAAAATTAATTGACACTCTGAGACAACATAAGGTAGTATGGGTACAAAAAACATCCAAAAAGAGAGAAAGCTTCAGGACGGCCTTTTATGTTTTAGACTGTGCTTTGCTCCACTTTAGGGTCTTAACTTTGCTGAAGACTGGAAGCTTCTGACCATTCTCATAGGCATGAATGACATTTGTGATTACTGTAAAGATAAGGTGAGTGATTTTTTTTTTATAATTTTTATTTATTTGTTTGCTTGTTTGCTGAATTTAGTTTAAAGTCAAAGCATTTTTGCTGAATTATTTCTCCTTTTTCTGCCCAGTCTCAGTTTTCAGTGGATAACTTCATTCGCTACCTGACCCTCTCTCTAGAGATGCTTAAGAAGGAGGTGAAGCCAAAACCAAATGCATTTTGAATTTTCCGACCATTTCTTCAGAGTGAGGGTCTAGTGAGACTCTGCGATGTGTTTCAGGTTCCTCGTATGATCGTCAATGTGGTGCAGATTTTGCGAATAAGTTTTCTGAGGGAAGTGAAGAAGCCTACCGAGGGGTGTAATCTACAGGAGTGAGCCTGCACGTTTCATTGCATGGAGCATTTTCGTTGATGCACAAGTTTTTTTTTAAATGATCTTTGGACACAGGACATGCAAAACCTTGCTTTTGTTGAATCTATCAAATCTAAAGATTTAGGTTTTGAAGTGTTCTACACATATTTGTTTTTCCTGAGTAGATGTTTATGGTGTTGTTTTGATTTATTTGCCCGGTTTTTAAAAAAAATCTGTTTCAGGGCCTTCTGCGGATGCCTGATCAAGCCAGGGCCCAACTCTCCTGAACTTAAGGAGCTGATTGAGGTCAATCTGAAGTTTCAGGTGAAAAACAGTACTTTTGTTTTGCGTTGATATTTATTACAATTTTGTTAGCCCTGAATTGGAAACACAGATTTTAGACCAGCATTAGAAATAAATGACAAAAATAGAGTAAGTATTCATGAGTCCTGCATTTATCTATTCTAAGTAAAAGCACAAAAACTAGTGGGTGCTTTTGTGCTTTCAAAAAAAAAAGGATTCTGCAGTCGCAGGTCTTTCCTAGAACCGTTGAGTGGATGCTTGTTTTGGAAATCAGACGAAATACCTTTTGAATGATTGACATTCTGCGTTTCTTTTTGTTTGTGTTCTTTATCTTGCAGAAGAGTCTCGAGAAGCTGTTTTACAGCAATCGCTTCTTCAAGAAGGACTTTGCTGTAGTCCTGCAGCCCTTCACCAGAGACGCTGATGCCCCGCGCCTCCCGGTAAAGAAAAAAAACCCCAAAAAACAAAACAAACAAACAAAAAAAACAGTCATATTGTTGTGATGTGAGCATCTGCTTTCAGGAGGTGAATTAACACAAAGCTTTGCACCGAGGGGATTGAATCATCAGGATGCCTGTTCAAACAGCTGGAGCTCTTGCTAGTTGAAGCTTGTGATTCTGATTTTGTCAGTTTGTTGCTGAATGTAAAGAGTGGATGTTTTATCCCTCTGAGCAGAACGGGACGATTGATATGACCTTCTTCGCTCCCGACTGCTTCCACATCACCATAAAGGGACACGAGGAGCTGGCTAAAGGCCTCTGGAACAACATGGTGAACTAACACGTACCCCGACTGAATGTTTGTTCGTTTGAACCATACATTTAGATACATCTTCAGCAGATTAGAAATGCTATAGAAACAAATATGTTTGGAGATTAATATTTGTCCTACCTCTGGCACTGAAGCACAGCTAGCTGCTCCGGGAAGTTAGAAGAGTAGCCGTTTAGCTGCTGCTTTAAAATGTTGATTACTTAGGGAGTCTTTCTTGATTATTTATGTTGCGCTATGTTTAGCATCTACGCCCTCTGGGAAAAAAATTGCACATCTCGCGCAGTGATAGGTTATTTCAAACTCCAAACTGCTGTTCACAGATTATAAAAATATCTTTCTTTAATTGAAAAGTAAACACTGCGCTGCAACGTATTGCCATATGTTTCTGTATCCTGCACACAGTTTCAGCCTGGGAACAGGAAAACGATTGTGAGCAAACTTTCTGAACCCCTCAAGCTCATCTGTCCACCACAGGTGAGTCCCAGTGCGGTGCTGAACTGGACTAGCTCAGAAGGAAACCCTGCACCAATAAACGTTTCACCACATGCAACTACTTCCTACTGAGTAATAATAATAAAAACAAGTTGTGCATAATAAATTTGCATGCAATATGTTATTTTCATACATGTTTGATTGAATTTTGTGTTGCTGTGCTGGGCTCCATGATGTTGATTTCACTTGTGCTTTAAAGGAGATGCAATACTTTCTGTTTGGCACACAGGAAACAGAAATGATTGTGGGATATTTTTATCAGTCTATCTGAGCTGCTACTGGCACCAAATCAGGAAATCATTTGAAAATTAGTGTAAAAACAGCAAAACTGTGCATTCAAAAAAAAATAATTATTGTAATTATACCTAGTTATATGTGCTTTTCATTATTCGTGTGTCTGCAGGATCACCCGTACATCTTCACCCAGCCGGTTGCAGCCAAGTCGAGTCCGTCTCTTCTTCGTTCCAAGTCCACATCGCCGGCAGCCGTCGTCCTGATCCTCCTGGTCCTCCTGCTGTGTGTGGCTTAAACACATCTCAGGTTTCCTGTTCTGGTCGAACCGCTACTACAAGATTAAAGGCTGAAATCATTCAGGGTTTTTGGCGAGTCATTTGAACTGTTTTAAATAATTTTGTGACCATTCCAGGATGATTTTACAACGTGAATCTTCCGTGGTGTTTAAGAGATTGTTCTAATTTACAATCTCTACATTGATGTAGTCATTGACCAGCCAAGACTGAGCCAGAATGTGACTTTAAATGTATCACCGATGAAAATGAACAGTTTTAGCTCTAGAAGGCTGTGAATATTTTTACAACAGGATTATCCAATCTTCAGCAGGTAGAGATGGAGTTGTTGAGAGCTTTACTGGAGCCTGCAAACACACAAGAGCAATATTTTCTGTTCTGAATTTATTTTTAGGAGAAAATGTTCATTGTCTACATTTATTTCACACAAATGTTAATAAAAAATATATAAAACCTTTAAATTGTTGATGCATTTTTAACAATCAAGCATTGGAAACCCAACCAAATGTAACCCCTCTGGCTCCGCCACTGCTGTAATCTGAGCAAGAACCATCTAAATATGGAGATTCTTGTATTCCACCAGAGTTATCTCTTCAGACAACTCTTGCCTTTTCAAGCAGCATGTGATTCAGTTGCATGTTTGCCCCTCAGATCTTCAGGCTGTGACTGGCCCACTTTCTGTGTGCTCTCCAGAATTTGCCATGCAATGAGAGCTCCTACAACACAAAGCAAGCCACTGTAAAAAGCTTGTAAATCTCAAAAGTAAGATGAAACCTTTCGAGTCGTCGTCATTTGTAAACTGTGGTTGATTTCCAGACTGCGTTGATGTCTGGATAGACGGAAAGTCAACACTGTGTTGAATTAGCTTGTTTATTGTGATCACAAACACAGTTGGAGGCTATTGTTGATTCTCAGAATGAGTGCATTTACCTCTTGAATGAATAAATGGACAGATGGCACAGCAGATAATGAGGTTCATTGAAACTTGCTGCAGTGTACACAAGTGTGACACATTATACTGTGACTGAGTGGATATGCAGCCTTTTAATGTGTTCTTGTTTATTTTTCCTGTATTTTAATAGACAAAAAAAAAAAACCCCAAAAAACAATAATGAGGTAATTTTGTATCAAATAAATCTGTTCTGTATCTGGAAGATGCACTTTCACTTCCATTTCATTTCATTGCTTCTGGAAAGGTCATCAGCATGAATTTCAATCAGACCACCCAGCTGCCAGATGTTATAAAGACGCCGTTCAAAGAAAAGCCTCTTCCTGTTTGAATAGGCCTACCGCCGGTTCATGCGGGACAATATGGATCCGTCTCTGACGCAGGCGGGTCTTTATTGCCGCGCTGCAGGCACTATGGGAACTTTGGGATCTCTGTGGATGGTGCTGTGGGGAAAAATATCCACTCCTGGAAGCCTCTCTTTGTCATTTAGTTTTGATGAATCTGCCGCCCTACCAAAAACAACAATAGCTCACAAGCAAACTGTTTCCACGAGGGGCACTTAGGTGATGATTATAGTTGTAATTCAGCTGGGAAACCGTTTCCTTCACAGCTACTTTGTGTTTCCCTTTCACATAAAATCACTATGAAAATACGTTTAAAAAAAAGTGTAGCTGCAGCATCACAAGATGCGAAAAAATGTTAAGAAGCACTTTATGTGCAGGATTTATGTTTATCCAACTGAAAATGTCATAAGATTGACACTCTACAAATGGCTGTAAAACATGAGAATGCAGACTGTGAGGCAGCCTGCAGATTATTCCCATGATAACAGTCAAGACATCAAGCTTATGGTCTGTTTGCACACATCTCAACCTGAACTGAATGATGGTTCTCTGAAAATGATGCTTGTCTTTGTCACACAGTGTCCTTTCAAATTACTACAATAAAAGGCAACATGTGATTTTAAAAAGCTTCACAGAACAAAAAATCACCAACAGGATTTGACTGCAGAAGAGATCGTTCCTAATTTCTCCAGCCGCTGCTGGTTATAGTAAAGATGGTGTAGTTAAAAGTGGAGACACAACTAAAAGTGAAGAAGTAATTTTAGCCATTTTTCTCAAATAACCCTAAATAAAATTCAGTTCAAAGTATTAAACTGAGCTTCAGCTGTACCGGTCACAGATATCAGTGACCATTAGTGAACACACAAAAAAAGAAAAAAAAAAGTGTGAAACTGAAGCAAAAACACGCCACACGTTTCAGATTTTGTAACGTTTTTAAAATGTAACTTTCACGGTTATGTCCTATTTTGTGTTTATCTCAGAAAATCTTGATAAAATGTCCTGAACTTTATATTGTGACATGAATTATTTTTGCACTTCAGTTGTACCTCACCACTGTTTGTGTTTGCAAATATCAGTTCAGCCTAATGCACCTCGTCGTTCCAGACCTTTCGCAAATAAAAAAATAAAATAAAAACTTTGGAAAATCAAACAAAAGCGCTGAATGGCAGCCGGTTACATCACCTTTTACCTGTTCACGCCCTGAAACCTGCCGGGGTTTGCTCACGACGTTGAGCGACGTTGTCCCCTCTGCCCAGGATGATGTCACTTCCGCCCTCCACCTCGCCGTATAAGAGCGCTGCTGTTGCGGGGAAGTGTCAGCAGAGACCGGAGGAGGACGGGAGGCTGGAGGAGGAGAGAAAATAATATATTAGCTCTCCAGAAATACCGAAAGACGACTAAGTTTTTTTTGTTGTTGTTGTTTTGTTCAGCATGAGTCAGTAAGTCGCCTGTTTATCGCCGAGCTTCTGATTTAAAAAGTAGAAGAAGAAGAAAAAAAGCTTCGCTGTTTTGCTTTATTCCTGGAGAGCTGAATTCATCTCGTCTCCGACATGACCGGGAGAGGACTGCTTCTTCTCGCCGCTCTGTCCACCTGCGGTAAGAAACACACAAAGCAACGTGCAGCTGCGCAGGTTCAGCACCAAGGACAGCGACGCGCGGCGCGTCTCCAACCAGCCGCGCTGTGGATCCCGCGGCTCCTTTGGCGCATTCAGTCCCGTTACTGTCGTTGATGTTGTTTCTTTTTCTGTGGCAAAAGGGGGTTTAAACACAAGCCTGTTCTTACTTCTCTTGCAGTTCTGTCATTGCCAGTGACTTCACATCAGCTGGAGAATGAGGACGTGGAGGTGAGACGCTCTGATTGTACCTGTGATTTTAAGGCCCAACTTCTATTGTATCAGAAAAAGAAAAGAAGAAGAAGAAAAAAAGAAACTTACAGCTGACTGTTTTAATTTGAATGGCGGTGTGAAATCGCAATGGTTCTGAAGTTGCGCAGTGATTAGATATACTTAATCCTTGCGATTGAAGTCAAAGCTCTTTCCCCGCTTGGGGACATGCTCGGTTTGTGAAATCAATACATACTAATTTGAAGCCTGCAGAGAGGTTTGACCTCCAGGAGCTAAGATGGCAGGAATCCAATTACCAGGGCAAAAGGTTGTTGTTGTTTTATTTTATTTATTTTTATTTTTTTTGTAAAATAAGGATCCAAGAATGGAAAGAAAAGATGTGGGGAAAAAATGCTACATGAAAAATTACATGTTCAGCAAAACAAACATTTGAAAATGCAATATTTTGCATGGCGGTTTCTATCAGATCAAAATCGGCCAGGCCTTTAGAAAGTCAGTTTTGACAAATATGGACAAGATCTTTCTCTGTTGTTAGTATCAAGGAACTTGATATAACAAAATCCAAATAGATCTTCAAATTGTTGAGTAATTTCAATAAACTGTATCCACATCAGCTAAATGATTAAATGTTTAAAGATCACTGATCACTGTGTGGTGTCCATGGATATCTAGCTTTCACTTAGACTAGAAAATTAGCTTTTTTTATTTTTATTTTTTATTTTTTGTTTTTTACCCCAAACATCAAAGTCATTCAAGTGAAAATGGTGAAGCACAGATTTGGCTACAACTTGAAAATCAACCATATTTGGGCATCAGTGGTTGTCTTTATGTAGAAGTTTTTTTCCCCTTTTGACATTTCAGCCATATTTTAACTTTATTTGGACAGAAGGCAATGTTGTCTTTTCACAGTATTTAACTCTGGCAAAAGTGTTAAGATCTTGTTTCAGTTTATTATTTTATTTTGGGTGTTTTTTTGTTGTTGTTTTTGCAGTGGAGCAGCTAACAGCATTTATGTTGGCATCTAATACCTTTTCAGCATACAACAAGTACAGTTTATGCTGCTGCTTCATTTTTTAATTGTGAAAGCTCTGCTGAGTAAAGTTGCTTCATACTTAGTCACCACTAGGGGCAGAGCAGTCCAAGTTGTGTGCTGCAGCCAGGTGAGATACTGACTGCAAAGTTTTCCACAGAATAAAAGATCCGAGCCAAAAGCAAGAGACATTTTTGGCCTTTGTTTCTCCTTGTGCGCAGGTGATGAAATGTATCGTGGAGGCGCTGGCTGATGTTCTGTCAAGACCGAAGCAAGTTCCTGTCAGTCAGGAATGTCTGAACACTCTGAAGACCGGTAAGTCAATGGAGAAGCAAGAGTGCTGTTAGATTTTCCGGGATGTGCAAAGAAGTAAATATTAGTTCCCACCATTTGATTAAAGCATTTACCAAAGTCTGTCTGACTATTTCCATTTACGGAGGCGTTACAGCTGCAACTGGCTTCCAAAGTAAATTACATCTGTCAAATCCTCACAGTTTGCTATATTGTTAGTGTTGTCTTGTTGCAGCACATTTTGATCCAGAATCAACCTTTATCACTCCATCAGCCTCCCATAACTTCACAGGGCAATATTTGCACCCTGAGCCTTTTTTTTTTCTTTCTAAATCTGTTTGCAAGGTTTTTGCATCTTTACATTTTTTTCTATCTCCCTGGAAACAGGCTGCTTTTTAATCAAAGCTGAATTTTATGGATAAAATGCTAGATTATATCTGGAAAACCCTGAATTATCACAGACAATCAAACAAAACAATAATACTCTTACTTTTTTATTGCTAATTAGTGTTATAAGACCCTCTGAATGTCCTGCAATCAAGTTAGCATTTCTTGCTTTTATAGATAAAATATTAAGAGAAGATCCAAATAAATGATTATTAGCTT